GAGTGTGTGTGTGTGTGTGTGTGTGTGTGTGTGTGAGAGTGTGTGTGTGTGTTTGAGTGTGCGTGTATGTGTGTATGTGTTTGTTTGTGTGTGTGGGTTTGAGTATGTGTTTGTGTGTGTGTGTGTGTGTGTGTGTTTGAGTGTGTGTGTGTGTGTGTGTGAGAGAGAGTGTGTGTGTGTTTGAGTGTGTGTGTGTGTGTGTGTTGTGTGTGTGTGTGTGTGTGTTTGAGTGTGTGTGTGTGTGTGTTTACATATAATAAACCCATTATAATAAATATCATATTTAGTTACCTGTGCCCTTCAGCAAATAGAAAATATACAGAAATTGAATAAAGTTATCAAACACCAAATTCTAAATTAAATACAGATGCATCCTTAAAGCTACAAAAGTTATTGATTTCTTTGATTAATAGCTGCTGGTTGTTAGGTTTTTCGGCTGCTATTACTTTAAGAGCTGCCGCTGCTGACTGTGACACGGATCTGAGACGCATCTCTCTTTACCTTTTCTGACCCATTCATGTCTTAAAGTCTTTATATATTATTCATATATTACTATATTAATTGTTATGTATTACTTATATAACCATATTAATATATTAAATATATCGCCACAAAACTGTTACATATACATAATGCAGTATATATCTCAATCTCATACATCTGCTCATGATGCGCATACGTAATTTTAATGATTTAAAGGAACAGTGCACCCTAAAATAAAACCGGTTCAAATAAAAGCGGCTCTTTAAACACGCTTCAGGCTTCTGCTGAGGATATCTGGATGTATGTGTGCAGAAACACAGACTTCACACCTGATAATCACCTGGAACCAGGAGCAGATCTGGAAAAACTGATTTCTGCTGATGGATGGGCCTCATTTCATGTACTTATTGATATATACGTGTATATATGGTTTCTACATGACTAGGAGCCAATTCTCCCCCGTTTTATCATCTCTACACAATATATAACCAGATGGAAAAGGCGATTGCACTCACAGCCTCTCCAGAGCTCGCAGGCCGAGGAAAGAGTTATTCTTCAGCGCCGAGATCTTATTGTTGCTCAGGATCCTGAGGAGACACAACAACACAAACCATAAATACAGAGCAGGAGGATTTACACACAAACCGTCATCTTTACAGCCAGCAGCAGATTTATACGACTCTAAATCTCCCGTCTGCTTCATATCGTCAGCGTGGTTGTGGTCAGAATGGAGAAAACAAAACGTCCCCAAAACACTTTCTCTGGAAATTAACTTGCTGAAGTGTTATTAAGGCATTATAATTTACATTTATGCATTTGCAGACAATTTATATATATATATGTGTGTGTGTGTGTGTGTGTGTGTGTGTGTGTGTGTGTGTGAGTGTATATATGTATATGTATATTTTTCCCTCTTTTTTTTAAATCACAATATAAAAATGCTACAATATGTATCAATGTATAGCGACAATATTTTTTGCGCATAGTTCGCCAAAAGATGAAGGTTCAGAAATATTTAATTTAGGCTTTTATTTACATATAAACATTGGTTAATTCCTGTGTTATTATAGTTAACTAAAACTAAAAACATTAAAAACTGCATTACTTGAAATAAAAAATGTTAACTGAATATAAAATAAATTAAAATATGAAAAAAAAACTTATTTTAGCTTGTTGCCAAGGCAACATTTCAAATTTTTGCTTAATTTAACTTGTACTAAAATAACTAAAACTGAAATAATTAATAAAAAAATATATATAGATAGACATTTTTTTAAAAAAACAAAAACTAATAAAAATTACAAAAACCCTCAATTTCTAAAACTTATGTAAAATGAACATGAAATCCAATAATAAAAAATAAAATCGAATTCAAAATTTAAAAAAAACTACAATAGTATCTCAAAGATACTAAAATACCAACACACACACAAATATGGTGACCCTGAAAAATCAGTGTACCATTCGATCATTCGTTTTTGATTTAATATTGAAAGTAGAAAAATTAGAAAACGGCTCGTTTCGTTTTTTTGTTGTTTTTTTCCAAAAAATGAAAAACGAAAATTCAGCTTAAATTTTCGTTTTTCGTTCATGGGTGGAAAAATGAATAAACACCCCATCGAGGGGAAATAACTTAATACTCTGTCATTTATAGTCGTATGGTAAAATGTATATTTTTAATTGTGTAACGTTACGTTCAAAATAACTACAAAATGTCATGCCTTTGAGAAATAAAGAGAACAACAGAATGCGCTGCTTTAGCTCGTCTCGGTCTCCTTGAGCATCTTTCCGGCGCATGCCACAAACATGAACCACAGCGAATACTCGCCTTTTAAAAGGCTTAATTTAGATTATCTGACGTTGAATGCATCATATAAGTCACTTTGGAATAAATCACAGTAGGCCTATGTATCATGATAAAAAAATCGACTTTACAGTCTGGAAATACTTTAGGCTATAGCTAATTATTTCTCGGACCCCCTATCACTTTAAGAACCGCTGGTCTACACAGAAGAAAGACCTGTCTAGACTCTGCCCCAGTATGAGTTGTGTCCAGCTATTCATTAGTCTGTTTGATGAGACAAATATGAAATTGATAAAATGGGTTATTAATCCATACACCTGCAGCAGTGGAGGACTATTATTCTGCTGCGTGATACTGCGGAAGAACTGATGACGGCACGGTTTGATCTTCGGCTGACCAATCAGCAGAAAGGGGCGTTTAATTCCCGCCCACTTGTAGAAATCCAATATTCAAGCTGTTTATT